GCTAGTCCAATTGGAAAACAATTTTTTTTGTTTTAATTTCTAGATTGTACAAGTAGCAAAGATCTTGAATGCACATATGAACTCATTACAATGGATAGACCAAAATGCAGGTAAGAATTGGAAGAAATAGAAAGTATATTTAGAAACCTTAAAGCTTGCCAAGATTTCAAAAGGCTGCTTTACTCTCTGGTGATCTTTGTGGCATTTTTTGTGGTCATTTTGATCCTTAGAGAATAATGGTAGAGAATTAACTTGTAAACTTTTATTCAATTTAAAACTGAGATCAGTTTCAGATCCAGGATTTTTTCAAAAGGGGGTTCCACTTTGTTTTTTGCATTTTCCTAAAACGAACTTTTTTACTGTGCCTCTCGAACTGTAGCAAATGTAGTGTGAATATATTGAATAAAAATTCATTGTACGATGCGTTTTCATTTTATTTCATTTATCATTTATTTTATTTTTTATTTTTTTTATGCTTGAGGGGGGTTCCTAGGAACCCATGGAACCCCCCTGGATCCACCACTGGAGATGAGCTTTAACTAAATGTCTCCTCAAAAGAATGAGAAAACATTTATATATTTTTATAATCGCCTGAACAATTACAGCAAAAAATTGACACAAAATCTCCATAAAAATCACTGTGTAAATGGACTTTTAGAAAGTTAAAAGGAGTTGAATCACACTTTGAGTGAAGAGCTTTACAAATTTGCCTATTAAGATTGAACGCAATTATTGAAAAGTTATATTGCTATGTTTAACATCCCTGATCAAAATAACATATTGTCAAATGAAAAATAGACAACTGCTCATTATAATCTTTTTGTATTTTTCAGCGCTTTTACAAAGAAAAGTGGATGAAGTCTCAAGCATGAGTGAAATACGACGGAAAGAACAAGAACGCAACTTTCGCCTGGTAAAATAGTTATACAAAACAGAATTTGTATTATAATATAATACATAATCATATTATGATTTTTATCAATATGTTGGAGGCCGATTAAAGTGATTTTAAAACAATTTTGAAACATAAAGATTGAACAGATTAATACATTTTTGCTTGGAAATACGGATTAATTGATCTTCTTGTGTTGAAAATGTCAAGACTCATTCGCCTGTGTTTATTATGCAATTCAAACAAGTGTGTTTATTGATATTTTCTTTTCTTTTCAGGCCTTTGACTGATAATATAAGTGTAAAGATTTGAACTTACCTTTGTCCTTCTGTAGCATAACTGATCATTGTACATGTACTAAGAGGTCACATGACCTGGTGTATATAACATTTATCAAGGACTTACCAAAGTTCCAGAYGCCTGGCTTGCATTCTAAATTTTATGGGAATTTTGTTCGCCAGTGTACTGCTAGTCAAATACAAAGTTGTTTATAGTCAATTGTTCTAGTTTAGATCAACAAGGTTGCACCTCATTGAAATAGTRAAATTGTTTTATATTCCCAATAGTTTTACATTATCTGAAAATGGGTGAAAAATCTATCATTTTTAGGGATTGGGGACCAATGTATGGAATAGGCCTAGTGCATGAAACTGTCACATGCTACTATGTCTGCTATACTGGATGGCAAAAGATTATAATGTAAACAACCTCAAAAACAAGAGAAACACAGCCCAGTATGATGGATTTAGTACCGTGTGACCGTAGTACCGTTAAGGTGGAAAACTTCTTAAAAAGGGATCAAGGATAGAGRGGGCCACATTGAGAATATGGCACATTATCAGGATGGGTTTCTTGGGATGCAAGGAGTAGTGTATATGAGGAGTACGTTTGGACATCAGGAGCACTTCATGGGTGGAGTCTTATCCCGGGTGGGGGTACTCYCTCCAAACTTGGGTGGGGGTGAAATTGCTGAAAACTATACCCTATTCCAGAGTAGAATCGCTGAAAACGATAACCTGTTCCAGACTAAAATCCAGCACTAGCCTGCGTGTAGACCGAATTTTTACCCCGTGAATTTTTACCCAGCATTGATATTTCCAAAATTATATGATGACCCTGTTCCAGAGAAAAATCAGTGAAATCGATGCCCTGTTTCCCTCCCGGCCTGTCCCCCCTGGGAGTCTTATTATGTAAGGGGTACCATTGGGATTTGAGGAGCCATCATGTGGGTGGAGTCCTATTAGGCTGTGGAGCACTATGTCAGGGGTACCATTGGGATTTGAGGAGCATATGGAAAGTACTATTTTGAGGAGCACTATGCAAGGAATACTGTTGGGACGTGGGGAACACTATGGCTTCTGACTTGTCCCCAGTCGTTCTCTTCTATCTTGCACGCGAAGCTTTTCGAGACACTAAAAAAATGGCGTGGTAGAATACTGGGGACGAGTCAGCTATGGCTTTATTGAGGCAGGTTTTTAGGCCAAGATCCATTGAGAGAAAATATGGTAAACAATTTGAATGGCAAACACACCGTAAACATTAAACTATTTCTCAATACTTTTATTAACATTCAATTCAATATTATAATATAAATCTATTTTTATCTTTTGCACTGCTTTACAATCTAAACCATAAAATCCTTAATACTATTCGCTATATGACAGAAACAGGATTGAATGAATTCTAACGTCGACARTAGAGACAAGTCCTTGTCAATACAACACATTGGTTCAGGTCTGAGGCGTATCTTTTCTCTTTAAGGCAAGTTTACAYGGTACGATTGTCGTTTGTGACTTGTAGTATATGCCTCAAATGAGCTCCAAATTKWTCCATGTAAATGTCCCTATGACTTGTCTACAACAGTTGTATGCAACCTACGACTTGTAGTAGGAAAATCATATACTACAAGTTGCATACAACAGTCGTACCTTGCAATTAACCTTTGTCCTTTTAGTGGTACATTGCACTTTCTATAAAGTTTTATGCAGTCCACACTTAGAAACACAAACAAATCTGAATGGTGAAAAAACATAGAGCTCATCCTCAGTAAAAATAGACTCTGAAGCTTTTACATCATGTACTGTATAATGCATTGTAGATGACATTGTAGATGTTTGGGACAGAACATGGCATATTTCTTTTGTTTTCTCTAGAAACTGATCCCACAATGCATYGAAAATCAAGTAGTGACGTAAAAGAAGAAGTCTATTGAAACTATGGGCTACATAAAAATTCCTGATAAAGGCAGCAAAGTCTTGGAGAGGTTATAATATTTAATTTTCAAAAAATCACTACCTTATGATCACTGTCCATGTTAGTAAGTTTTTTAAAGTTAGAATAGTTTAATTGTCTTAGTATAGATTTTCAAATGGTAACAGAATATTGCTAGACAAAACAGCAGCCATTTTTATGACAGATGAGGTATAGAACAGTCAAATCCAAGCATTGTTTTGAAATRTTAGAGGAGGCTCTTCATGATCTGAAGTTTTGAGCCTCAAAAGAATAAAAAAACTCTACTTTTAGTTGCCAAGCTTTCYAGGCTCAGGACATTTTGCCTAGCTTTGCACTTTTCAACTTAGTACATGTACACTCTTTAGAACATCATGTAGGAAGTTCCTTAGTAGCACAGGGTTCGTACACTTTGGAAGGTCTAAAATTCCACGACTTTTTTCATGACTAATTCAATGACCAAAATAGAAAGCACACTTCACAAATACATGCACTTCATGTCATGACCTTCAACTTATTGAAATTTGTCAGCATTTGATTTATCAGCACTAGATAGAGGGTCTCAATGGGGTTAACCGTGAGCCGTGAAACGGCTAAAAAATTAGCAGTGAATCGTAAAAATGAGAAAAATTAGCCGTGAAACGGCTGAAAAATTAGCCGTGAATCGTAAAAATGAGAAAAATTAGCCGTGAAACGGCTGAAAAATTAGCCGTGAGTCGTGGAAATGTGAAAAAAATTAGCCGTGAGTCGTGAAAAAGCCAAATTTTTAGCCATGAGTCGTGATGCAGACCCCCCCATTGAGACCCTCTAGATACTTAGTTAATAAATATAATCCACTTGTTTTAAATTTGTTAGAAATAGTAGCCCTAATTTAAGATAACAAACAATATTTTGTTATGACTTTCCATAACCATCATCAACATTTCCTGACTTTGATCCCAGAACTGGAAAACTATAAGATAATAATACAAAAGTCCATGACTTTGCAAGTTTTCCAGGACCYGTACAAACCCTGCAKTAGRGCTATCTCTTTYGTTTYCATTTCATAAAASAGTTAGCCCTACCAGCTACATGWAGGGAACCCTACCCTATGTAGAGAGGTCGGCAGTTTAATACATGTAGCATCTAATAATTATAATATGTAGTTGATACTTCTCTGAAATCTTGGCTAGGATTGCTAAACATACTTTAGAACTAAAGCTATTGCTCCATCTGTGTGAAGAAAATGAGAAAAAATGGATGAATGAAAATAGCAAAAAGTTGAGGGATAAATGGATGTGAATGGTTGAAGTAATTGAAAGAATGGAATTGAAAGGATTAAGAGCGCATTCAAGTGTGAAGATTGGCTGATAACAAAACAGCAAAGGGACCAGTGYTTTTTTGCACATTCATATTTGAACTAGTAAAACAAATGAATATCTTWACAAATTTCATTAGGATTGAATGAAAGGAARAAAGGGGAAGGTCATTTTCGTCAAGTACTTACTGGTTTTTGTGCTGAAGTACCCRCACCATCATCATCATCGTCTTCTAATGCCTTTAATTCCTCTTCTATAAGTTTTCGTGCAAGTTTTACTTTGGAAAATTCATTGTAATGCTGCTTTCTATGCTTTTTGAATTCTTGTCTTTTTTCTGTGGGATAAAACAATAAGGAAAATCTTTTATTTGCTATCAATGAATTGTATGCAATGCTGGTCAAAAGCCAGAACTAATAACTAAATTCTGTCATGGACCTCTAGAGTGCGTAAAGTAATATAGAAAATATGAGCGGGAGACCTTTATGATCATTTAAAACTGCAAACTGCAAAAAAAAAAAAAAAGCTCATACAATATGTAAACAGTGAATCTGGTAGAGTACGACGGTGCGATCCCACACTATTAACCTCAAATCGCACTGAATCGCACTATTTTTCATTTTTTATTTTCACTATTATTTTTATTTTTACAAATGTAAGAGAAAATCAGGGTTAAAGTCACATGCAAATCAGGACAAATCTCTTGCTTATAAAGATTTTCTATATATTGTGTTTGCCTCATAGATTATTAATAAATTTGATAATGATAATTATAGCGGTGTTGAATTATAACCCTAATTCCTTTGTTTCTCTATTGTTTGATTAAGTTGTCTAGCAATGACAATTCCACAAGTGTATTCTTTACTCTCTAAAACAGTCTACTTCATGTTTCCCTGCACTATCTTGAAAGGTAACAGCACCCTAGAGTTTACATCAGAGCAAGACAACTGTTCAGTGTGCAGTGATGGAAACCTTCATTCATAGCAACAGATTGTAATTATTCACAGGTTTCTATTATTGCAAGCTCAACAGTTGTCTCGCTTCAAAAGCAAAAGCAAGATGATCAAGAAACGCATTGCTCCATGGAAATAATTAAACAACACTTAGATTTTCTTGTGTAATAATTTATACCTTTATCTTCTTCTGTTAAATCCTCTTCATCTTCATCATCATCTGGTAAATCTTCCCAACTTTTACGTCTATGGGCACCGGCAACGCTAAAAAAATGAATAACTTTGCATTACTTTTCAGGGCTGGAATAGTTGTGTTTTAGATTTTTCCCATATGGAATATACTTTCTGTGTCAAACTCTCTTAAAAACTACACAATTTTTAGAGAGATTATATTAGCTAATTAGTGCTTTTGCCACTCAGCATCTTTGAACACTAATGTCTAATAAACTATTGCTGTAAAGACCTCAAACTTTTGTATAGTTTGTAGTTCTTAAGAAGCCCTTTTACATTATAAATTAACTTATTTTACAGGTTTTTTTTTTGTTAAAAGCATTTTGTGATTTCAATTCTCTTCCACTGCCATTACAATTGCTGTCCATAGTAAATTTTCACAAAACTCACTTCTCTCAGTTTCATTTGGAAATCTGATACAAAACCCCCTCAAAGGACAGCCAGTGCTATAATCTTTCGTACATAGCCCCAAAGAGGTGCCATTTTCCTCTAAGAATTGGTCGAAATTGGACTTCTTTTTTGGTGACAATGAAATCTTCTCAAATTTGTTCATAATAAGGTCAATCGTTTCCTTGATAAAATCCATGTTCTGCCAAAAGGGCAAAATGTAAATGTATGCATCACCTCCCAGGTGTGTTTACTCAAAGCCACAAGAATGAATAGAGCCCATGAGGGTATGTTGACACTAGGATTATGTTCTTATTTACTTTTTTTTAACAAAAAAAGTTTTAGACGACTTGATCAAAAGTTGAGAAAATCAAGATATGAGTTTTCAGAAACAAAAGACTGAGGTAAGATTAAGGAAATTTGAATAATAATAGATGTGGTGGAAAATAGAAATTATCTCTTTTTCTTGCGAAAACGTTAAGACAAAAAATCGGGATGCAGATGTTTTTTTTTTGCCAAGATTTCTATAATATGGAGAAAGAACTTTGAGAATTTCAAGGGCCGGTACATCCAAATTTTACCATGATTCTATACTAGTAAGAAATATCACGCTGAATTTTAAAATATTTTTTTGGACAGCGGTATCCACGATAAGATTTTTTGGAGAGGAAAAGTTAATTTCTTTAGAAATCACTGTTGGTATTTTCTTTTAAACCGCTCAAGCAAGGAAGGATACAAACACAGGATTAGATGTCAGATTCTAGAGGAACAAGGAAGATATTTCACACTCTATTTTGGGTGTACCCATTTCTGCAAATCTTAGATTATTCCTTGTCAGTTTCACTTTGAACTGTTTGAATCAGTTTAAGCAAGATGTCAATTTAAAGTAAGACTGATCTTCTTATGGTTACAGGTGAAGTTTATTGGCCTTAACACAGCTTTTATGATGAGATTGTTTACATCACTGCAAACATTCAACAAAATAATTATATTTGAGGTGCTCAAGCTCTTATTGCAGGCAACAGCTGTATTTCTATGAAAGTCTACTACCAATACTAACCGTTGTGAAAGGTTTTCTGGATCTAAATCGTTTCCTTCATCGTCTGAAATAGGGTCCACGATGTTACCTTCCTCATCGGGGTCCTTCATCTTGTTGTATGGTGTTGGTGGCTCGTTAATTTTCATATGTCCGTAATCTTTGTCGGCAGGGTGGTACGTCATGAGTATGTTCATTTCATCCCATTGTACCCCTGAACTGTACAAAAGAGGTATAAAAGGTCTTGTTATTATTATGGCCGGCATTTTCACTCATCAAGAAATTATGGGATTACCAGGAAGCAAATGAACATAATTTTAATCTGGAGTTAAGGTACTGGGAATGCTCGTTGGATCTCTTAGGGGTAAAAATTTGTGTCAATTTGGAGTTTCTGAAAATTTGCATTTTCTGCAATCTCTTAGGGTGTCAGAAAAGAAGACACACATTAATATATATTTTCCTGAAAATACAACAAGCAATGAAACTTACTCCCAGGGGTGATTTGAATTGGGTGGAAACCTTTGTAGCAACGCGTTAGCCGATTAGGTCTATTGGTTCAATACGAATAACTTGATAATGAGCACAGACAAAAGGTTAAAGTTATATTAATTGTATTGTAGAGTCATTTTGATCCGTCTGTGAAACAATTACTACCTAGTCAGTGTTTAATAGTAACTATTAGGGTGTAGTAGGCTACCAAAAGGCAAAATTAAAACCGTTTTTGCCTAATTAGATTGTTGCATGTCATAAGTTATACTTGGGAGCTAATAGGGGTTAATAGTATTTAATAGTACAATTCCTACATGAATTTCACAGACAGATGAAAATGACTCTATTTGGCACTGAAAGTGAGAGTACTGTTTGCATAGGAAAAAGACCAAAAGCAAAGAAACGCTATACCGTTCTAACAGGTACAATTGAGCTATTGTAAGTAAAGTTTTAGGAGTCTCTAAACACATAATCATACATCCAGAATTAAGACAAAAAGTTAGAGTTATTTTGCATTGTATTTGGCACCAGCAGTGAAAATACTTTTAGCATAGGAAAAGACCAAAGCAAGGAAAYGCTGTGCTGTTATAACAGGTGCAATTGAGCTATTGTATGCTATGTTTTTTGAGTCTACACACAAATACACACCCACAATACCTCAAAGCAAACAAGGTCAAAGACCCTTTTATATTGCAAATGGATCACTTTAATCAATAATTCATAACTCAAAACTCTGCATTGAATGACAATATTTTTTGTTTTCAGTTGTTAGGATTTTATAATTTATAATATTTTAAGGCATGCAAATTTTAAAATAGTTTTGGGCTTATATTTTGACTTAAGCCATAAGTTAATTATCTGAAAAATTGTTTTTGAATGGCAAATTCCTATTAGAAAAATCCAACTGTGAGAAATAATATTTTCAAAAATTTWCAAAAAGGGGCAACCTACATTACATTTTTTTGAGTAAAACGTAAGGCATAATAATTTTCATTCTGAAAAACGCGAAAACAAGTATTTTTGAAAATAAGATTACATAAATCATACTTACAAATCTGATTTGTCACGCTTTGTCGAGGTAATTTAGCAAGGCGAAGTCAAAAAACAAATCAAGACTGATTGTGGCTTAAAAAAATTAGCAAAACAATAGAAGAATTTAGTGCTAAAGTTGTAGCTAATTGTCCAGTACTCACTTCTATTTATATATTCTTTAGAACATTACCTGAAAATTGCGAATTTAGAATTCGAAAATAGAATTATTTCTGCGCTAGATTCCATTCCCATTTTGCTATTTCATATTATAAGCTTAAACCAATTGGGCATAAAAATCTGTTTGCTTAATATTTCATACGATCAACAGATTGAATTCTTYTTTCTCGAAAACAAACATAGAATGCTCGTTCATTTAATAAGTTTTTAGCTAAAGTAAACTCGGAAGCTACGAAGTACAAAAGCACTTAATTTCATTTTTTTTGGAAAAGCTTTAACTTTAGTGCTAGCATCCATGTTGGAAAAAAATTCCTGTATATCTACATAATCGCATTTAAAAACTAATCCAACGGATGCAACTAAAACGTCACTCAATTCTTTCAAAAAGTAGGATTAGTCTAGCATTTTTTCAATGTAACTGTTCACARAATATCGCTTCACTCTTCAAAGTGTCTATCATGTTCTAAAAACTCTGGGTGAGAAAATTACCGAGATCATTGTATGCATGGTAAACAAACTTTATTTATAAATTACTAAATTGCTGGAAACGACAGTTGAGCTCTCTCAAAATAACCCTTGAAAGAATAGAGTGTACCAAATRACTTTCTGGYCGTCTTTAGAGCTAATAATTTAAGTTTTTTGGATRCAAAATATTTTTTCGATCTCGCGATATGAGCACACGTTCTTTCGACTCGCAAACAAACAGCTGAACTGATAAAAAATTCTCCTACTTTACGACCATATAAAATGACAACAGCTAACCACCACATGGATCAACCTTTCTCCTAGACTTCTACTTACTGGTGTTTGTCATCTGTTCTGTTTTTAAGTATTCCTCGTCTTCTTTCGACTTCGCCCTCACTTTCTTTCTTGCTCTCTGTGGTCGCCATCTTTGTTTGTGACAGTGTGACTAGAGCCTAGTCTWTTGCGATACGTGACCGGTTGCACGGTTTGACGCACTTTTTCACGCGATTGTCATTATCGGAAGGTCATTTCTTTTGCATCAAATCTATTCTTTCTTAAATGATTTTAGCTACAAAACCGGCGAGAGTTAAGATTATATTTTTGTTGTACTATTTAATCTTGCGTAACTACAAAGAACGATAATAAATTCATCATTTGAGGGGATTTTTTTTCACCACATAAACGACCTTCCTTAGCGACGACAAAAAGAGATCGGCAGTTACAAATTGATAATAAATCGGAGTCAAAATTGATAGATCAATGCAGTCACGTTCCGTAAAACCCCACTTATCATAGCCCTTTTCATCATACAAAAATGATTCTTTTTTTTCGCAAAACACGTCATAAACTACCTGACGGTTGACAGTTTTTATTCCGCGGAAATTTCAGAAAATGTAATTTATCAAGTGGGAATGCTTTGAAAACACCCCGGGCTGGATAAGATTACGTGTGGAGGCGATAAATTTTAGCTTTAAAAACAAAATTTGTAATTTTTAAACAAAGGTCTTCCTACGTGATAGGAGGCATGGACATAAAACACTTCTAGCGCTAGAATTTTCGAGGATTTTGTATATACGTGATTTTCTCCGTTTGTGCCCTATCTATCTGTCTGATGTTGTCAAGGTCAAAAAGACGGCTACGTCCGCATATGAAATAGAGCATGAAGAGAGGCCAATATCAATTGTT